GTTTGGACACATCATGGGACACAACTGGATACATGCCTAAGAACATATGTAATAATTACAGTGGTTTGCAAGTATTGACTATTCCATGTCAGGTACCACCATTAGATTTATCTTCCATTTCTTGTTCTGTATGAGAACTGCCAACAAATGCTAATGTCTCCAGTCATGCTGTGAAAGAAAATACCACCCTCATGGGATAATCTCAGCACATTTGATAACATAATATGGGGGAGGGAGAGAGAGGATTTCTGTTCATGTGGAAGGAAAAATATAATAGAAATAAAAGATTCAAATGTCATTAAGTTACCATATGCTCATTATAAAATTATTTCCAGCTATTTTTAAACATTATGTGGGATTGGGTTTGATTTCACCCGAAACCGAAAACAAAACAAATCATTGAGTTGACACCTGACTTTTTTTTTAACTGTATATCAAACTGTGTCTCAGAATGGTCTAATTGGGATCTCTGACTCAGATTAATGATTATTTTCTTTATAAAATACAAATCCGTTACGAAGGGATCATGACCTCAAGGATAACTAAAGTCATCCTTGTTTTGCATCATTTCATATTTCTTTCCCCATCTGTTTTTAAGCATCCCTATAGGTGGCCTATTCTTAGTCATAGAGCTATTCTTCTCCATCCCTGTCAATAAAATATTATGCAGAGCATAAGAAGCAGAGCAAAGATGTGGAGCTGTATTTCCAGAAGTGTTTTTTTTATTTCTTTCATCATTTTTTTTAGAAACCAGGAGTTCCTGAAATATCCCTTTCCCCCCTTTGCTACCATCTAATATGAAAATATACATGCTCTGTCTGTTTCCTGTTCCACAGTTGATTATAAAACATGGGGGAGGATCACAAACATATTTTTGCTGGTTTGTTGCCAAAATTTGAAAGCGATGGAAATTTGCATCACAAAACTTTGAAACTTGAAACATTTTCATTAGTTGTAGCTAGGTAAAAAATGACAAAAAAAGGTTGATAGCATTTTTTTTCTGGACATTATTTCAACTAACCCACAATTCAAATATATAAAAATTGTGACATTCTAAAAACGTTAACCGGGACAGGTGATGTATCCAGTTACACATGAGTTTTATTTCTCATGCAGCTATTTGGAAAAGGAACATTTATCCCCTCAAAAATATTAAACCTATACAAAAATATTTTTACAAATAAAAATGGCTTTTTGACTAAACATATATTTTTTTAAAAAATCTAGTACCGATTTTAACGTCTCCCTCCACACACTAAATAAAGTGTAGACAAGAATAATGTAACTATCTATTATTTATGTTCCTTTTTAAAAATTGATGGCACAGGCTAAACATTATAAGATTGTACCATGAGATTGCTCTAAATGGTGATTCAGATTCTGACTCGGCCAACATAGCCAATTTTGAAATAGCATGGAAAAATCCAAGTCTAAAACTTAATGAGAGAAATATGATCAACATCAAAGATCAGTCCAAGAGAAGATGCACTGAACTCCGAGACCTTTAGCAAATCACTAGAGAATGAACCTACTCAGAAGTCATTCATTTTTAATTCCTTCAGTGTGTCCTGGTAATCTTTAGGAGCTACAACTCTGAATTCAACTCAACTCCACAATGGGAGCTGAGATTTAGGCTACGTCTTCACTTCCCAGAAGATCGACGCTATGGTGATTGATCTTCCAGCATTTGATTTAGCAGATCTAGTAAAGGCCAGCTAAATTGAATGCTGAGGATGCCCCTGGCAATTCCAGAACTTCTGCTCCTTACAAGGAGTAAGGGAAGTCAACAGGACCATCGACTTCCCACTGTGAGGCTGCCAAAGCTTGGCTTAAAGTATGTCAACTTCAGCTATGTTTTTTACATAGCTGGAATTTCATACCTTAAGCTGACCTCAGCTCTAGTGTGGACCTGGTCATACTGTTCCCTCACATCTGTCAGCAACGGGCATTGGTGGACCTCTTTTGAAGACCACCCTACTCACTAGAAGAGGCACTCTAGAAGATACTACCCCAAGCCCTGTGCCAACAGAAATTAGGGACCAAAAAAACCTTACTTTCCACAAATTTGTGGTGCAGAGTTACGATTCAGTTAGCTGGAAATGATGACTTAAAAGTAGACGGTTGAAGATTACCTTCCTGAATAACTTCATATATTTTCAATATAATGTCATAGCCTACATCTCCTTTGCCACCACAATCTGCACGTGGATGTTCTACCTCAATGCAAGGGGCATTAATTCATTTAAGTCAAACAAAGGTGGCCACGATGGAAATACAGTAAATGAAAGATCGTCAGGACATTAAAAGCTACACAGACCCTGTATTTTTTTAAAATTTCTTGTTATAATGTTTGTTTCCTTAATACATCATTTTGTATTTACTCTGTCCCTTGTGGAACTAGATATTAAAAGTCCCAGAGACTACTAGTGACCCAGGGTAGGGGAAATCCCTTCATAAAGCAGATCTTCCTGGACCACGTGTTTGAAATCTGTAGGGGCATATCCCCTTTAAACTCAAGTACAGGAGTATACGCTTGTTGGAGACTTTCCATCCCTGTGATAGAGTAGCCTCTGCAAACATAAGGCTTTCTTCTGGGGAAGAATTGGCAGTCACTCTGATTAGCCCCAAAAGTCTCTATTTCCTAAGTAAGCAATGCAATCCAAGGAGAAATGGTTTAAGATAAATGGTGATTCTGTGAGTAGAGTTTGCTTTGCACTTGGCTTGGATGTCATAAAAGACAGGTCAATGTACCTTTTTTTTTTAAAAAAAAACTGCTGTTTGCTTCTATTCTACAGCTCCCTTTAAATTAGGTGTCTCTCAGTGTTGCATTTGGCAGAGTAGCTGGTGTACATTACTAGCACGTGGAGTGTTCGACATTTTAGTTTACTGACTAAGTGGTAAACCAGAAAAAAAAGCAACTTCTTTTACAAATGAGGTCCCTGCTCACAATTTCTCAACACATGCCACCAGCATCCTTCTGTCCTTTTTCTCTTAAAATTATCGGGCCATCTGGTTCTGACATACAGTCTGGTGTTTGAGGATGAAATTTCCACCTGTGCAGAGCGCGCAGCACAAAATAATGCAGCAGATAAACTGAGAGATGGAGAATTCAGTGATGGAAGGCCATCTACTGGGTTTTCACACAATGTTGCATTCTTCCTCTATACTGTGACATTGCTTCACAATTTATTCTCTGTTTAATGCTGAGTTATTGAAATCGTATGCTCTGAATTTCCGATTCATTCTTATTTGCACTATGATTTGTTTTCTTTTTTAATAGTACACTTTCTTCCCGTCAGTATTTGTTAATGTGACTCCCATATTGTGAGATGGTAAAAACTTCACAGAATAAATACATGACCATTTCTTTCTCTAAAGCGGAGTTCAGCGTGAGGGGAATTGTCTAAGGACCCACAGTGACTTGCCAAATAATTGAATTTCACGGTTCTGTGTCCCAGGTCCCACCCTGTCACTCAAAGTGGGTCCAGATATCTTTGTTATACAGTATTGCAAGCCACATCTCTGCTACCTTCACCTGCTTCCAAAGTTTTAAAACTTCAAAAACTTGGTCGTAGGTGAGTATTGACAAGGATGATGAGCCCTGGTTGATTTCATAGATGTCATTAATGGCTGAAGGCGCTTCCAGCAATCCAAGATGATGGCTTAGATCCCATTGTCCCAGTAGGATGCCACCAAACTCTGTAGGCTAGCTGAATTCTTAGCTTGTTGTGTGTTTTGAGAGGGGAGGAAAGTAAAGAAATCTTTACTTCATTAATCACCCCATCAAGTTTGCTCCTTCCTGGATGAGCTGCAGAGCTCAACCCCCAAACCTGTGCATGCCTGGAGACCAGCGAGAGCCAGCACCGATCCCTCGCTGTAGTTGTGTGAGAGTATCCTCTTTACTCTTAACTCGTCTACCCCTCTGAAGCTCTTTACTAAGGGGATGCAATGCAGCCCTTAATCTCCACTTGGTGGAAATAGGGGATGATGCTAGTCACTCCTACTGTTCCCACCCTCCCCCTCAAATCTATGGCATAAGCTAGGATGAGATTTTCACCCAATCTGCTCCAGGACCTCCAAAGGCTAAACCCACTGTGGTAAGCAAAAGTCACACACATTGGAATTGACTTTTTTACCCTGACTTGGGTCTACCACCTTCTTCCAAGTTCTCTTGTGTCCTCGTAGGCAGTTTCGAAAGCTGATTGCTTCTCTTGGCTTAAACAGACTTTCCCCTTGAGGGGAATCCTGTCTTACACGGGGACAAGAGGTGCAAAAGTACCAGGTTCAAAATGGATTCTAGTACCAGGTGGTATGGTCCCATGTCTTCCTAAGGCCAACTATTAGATGACGTGCCAGGCATTGCCTAAAAATCCTTGATGTTCCAGTGGTCTCCTGTTTTTCTTTTAAATGTCTTTCCCCATTTGTTAAATAATCCGGGGCTTTGTCTACACTGCAGGGTTTTTGCGCAAGAAGCCTTTTGCGTAAGAGTTTTTTGCACAAAAAGTTCTCACGCAAAAACGCATCCAGACCTCAAAGCGCATCACAAAAACGATGTGCTTTTACGCAAGAGAGTGTCCACACTGCATGGACACTCTTGCGCAAGAACGCTCTGATGGTCATTCAGAGCACCTGTGCTTTTTCCAATAGGGGTTTCTTACACAAAAACCCCTCCGGAGTGTCCACACCTGAGAGGAATAACTCTACTGCAAAAGCCCTCTGTTCTGTCGATTTACTTGCAAAAAAATGCACTGGAGGTGTGGGTGTTCTGCTGGTTTTTATGCCAAAGCCTTGTAGTGTAGACATACGGATGGTTTATGAGAGCATAGAAGAAGGTGAGACATTCAACAAACACCCCTGTGCTCTGAGCCCCAAATGATGCAGCTTCAATGTTCCCCCCCACTTCCCAAACGCTCGCCCGAAACGAATTCACTTGTTGGTAGTTTCTGGGGCAGAAGCGGCGGGCGTGCTGCTAACCCGGTGCCTGCGTTCTCTCCTTGCAGATATCGAAAACGCCAGTGACATTGCCTTGTACTCCGGCCTGGGGGCTGCCGTCATCGCGGTGGCCGTGCTGGTCGTCGGCATCACACTCTACAGGCGCAGCCAGAGCGAGTACGGCGTGGATGTAATCGATTCCTCTGCGCTGACAGGAGGCTTTCAGACCTTTAATTTTAAAACAGTCCGGCAAGGTGAGTGTTGAGATTTCATTAGCTTCCTGCACAGCTGCAACTGAGAGAGAGCAGGCAGCAAGTAGCCATTGCTGGAGGTGGAACTGGCTTGTGTAGGGCCAGATGTGTGGAATTTCGTATGCTTTTCCCTGCCTCCACCACCGATTTCTGCATAAATTCAGACAAGTGACTCATCTCTGCTTGCCTCCACTTATCCCTTGGTGTGTGCTATAGCAGCAGTGAGTATCACATTAGCTTTTCCTACTGCATTGACATCTAATCCATGCTGAAATCAATAGTATCAAGTAAATTCCTACTCCGTTCCTACTACTTTGGTTTTGTTTCCCAACTGAGGCTGGTTAAATCTTTCATTAGCTGCATTCCTAATCAGGGTACATCTAGACTGCTCATGAGTTTCGAAAGAAAATATGCAAATTCGGCATGAATTTGCATATCTTCTTCCGATTGCTTCTCCAAAAGAGGTATTTTCAAAAAAAAAGCAGTCTAGACGCAGTTCTTTCCCAAAAAAACCACCCTTTTTTGAAGGAAACCTTCTTCCTCCAAAAATGAGGTATGCAGGGTTCTTTTGAAAAAAAGGGGGTTCCGAAGGAATGGCGTCTAAACTGCTTTTTCAAAAAACGCTTTTGAAAAAGCGATTGGAAGAAGATATGCAAATTAGTGCTGAATTTGCATATCTCCTTTCGAAAGAAGAACGTAGTCTAGCTGTATTAAATGAAACTACTCGTTTTCAAGCATTTATGTTACACTGTTGAATGCTGATTTCTTTATTCTAAGATATTTAGAATACCCCAAGGCGTACAACTGTGAAAATATATTTATTTGGGAGAGGTTGTAAAATTTAGAAAGTCACTGAAAAGATTTTACAAGATATCAATCAAGCCCCATGTTAAGGCTCAGTCTGTTTTCTGGGCTATTTCTTTGGACAAAAAAGAGATTTTGAAGTAAAGCGGTGATCATTATAAAAACTTGTATTTCTTTGATTCGGGACCAGTATTCTAAAGTAGGGGCTGGCCTTGCTGTGGGTGGATGTAGGTGTGGATGTGGTGTGAAAGTGACCCATGTTTTTCTCTGTGGGAAAGTGAACTGTTACAGTTGGTGGCTGTGTGGCATGTGTACACGCATTCCAAAAGAGACATGCTTGGCAGAGCATAAATAAAAACAACTTTGGGATGCAGAGGAATTTGACTGATTTACTTGGAAGTTCAAGCTGCCTTTGAAGAGCAGTGTATAATTTTCATTCTGTCTTTTTCATAGTGTCTGAGATGAGTTTATTTCTTTTGGAAACAAATTACTGAAAAAATCTTGTTTGGGGTTTTATGTGGGCGATTTTGGTTTGGCTTGAATGTTGCACGGACATCTCTGGCAGAGGCACATAAAAATGCTACACGGACAATTTCTTTTATATTAGGAGACCATTCTGTTCCAGTTACTTTGGGTGGTTTTTGGAGTTTTTCAAATGAATAACTGCAAACAAACAAACATAAAGCCCCAAATCAGTCTGAGCATTGCACAGGTTATTCTAAGCCCCACTCCTCATCCGTATCTATAAATTGCTATTGAAAATATTTTAGCCTCACATTTAAGTGCTTTGGTGCTTCAGATTTTATGGCTTAGAGCCAACACCCATTGATCTCAGTGGAAGTCTTTCCATTATCTTCAGTGGCCCTGGGATCTAACTCTTAAAGCCACCGATACATATAGAATCATAGAATACTAGGACTGGAAGGGACCTCGAGAGGTCATCGAGTCCAGTCCCCTGCCCTCATGGCAGGACCAAACACTGTATAGACCACCCCGATAGACATTTATCTAACCTATTCTTAAATATCTCCAGAGATGGAGATTCCACAACCTCCCTGGGCAATTTATTCTAGTGTTTGACCACCCTGACAGTTAGGAACTTTTTCCTAATGTCCAACCTAAACCTCCCTTGCTGCAGTTTAACCCCATTGCTTCTTGTTCTATCCTCAGAGGCCAAGATGAACAAGTTTTCTCCCTCCTCCTTATGACACTCTTTTAGATACCTGAAAACTGCTCTCAATCTTCCCCCCTCAATCTTCTCTTTTCTAAACTAAACAAACCCAATTCTTTCAGCCTTCCTTCATAGGTCAAAATCATTTTCTAATTTGTTGTGTTCATTCATAGGCTAATTACAGCTTCAGAATGGCACACAGTTAGAAGTGAGATTCAAATAGTCAAATAATGAGCACAATATAAAAAGTTAGACAGAAACACAACTAGAGCCTATAGAATCCTCCCTCAAACACTGCAAAAAAACCCAGAAAATATCTGGGGGGTTTTTTTCTCCTCCTCAGCGTGTCACTTACAAATTGTTTTGGTGGAATTGGTTGTCATAAATGTTTAAGCTTGGAACCATACATCTATTGAGCCAGCTTCTGTCCCCCCAGCCTGGCTCTGTGGCATGGCACAGATAGCTCAAAGAAGTCAGAACCTGGCATCAGGCTGTAGGGAATGGGTGATCTGCAATGTGAGTCAAGTCAGTGAACTCAACTCTCATCCTAAGGTGTGAGGGGCATGTCAGAGGTATGGGAGCCGAGAGCAAAGGGCAGCTGGAATCGGCCATTTTTAGCTGGGGAATAGTTTTTTGGGAACAATGGGGATATGACACAAACTAGAGCAATCCTGTAGATTTGCTCCAAGGAGCATTTGGATCCACAGAAGGCAGGGAAGAATTGGTTTTGTACTATTTATGATTGGATGTCTTCAATTGACAGCTTTATGCGATATCCCCAAATCCGAACGTTTTATGAGGGAAGACTGAAAGAATTGGGGTTTTTTTAGTTTGGAAAGGAGAAATCTGAGAGGGGACATGAGAGCAGTTTTCAAGTATCTAAAAGGGTGTCACAAGGGGGAGGGAGAAAAATTGTTCTCATTGGCCTCTGAGGTCAGGACAAGAAGCAATGGGCTTAAATTGCCGCAAGGGAGGTTTAGGCTGGATTGTAGGAAAAACTTCCTGTCAGGGTGGTTAAACACTGGAGTAAATTTCCTGGGGAGATTGTGGAATCTCCATCACTGGAGATACTCAAGAACAGATTAGATAGACATCTATCAGGGATGGTTTAGATGGCGCTTGGGGGCAGGGGACTGGACCTGATGACCTTGCAAGGTCACTTCCAGGTCTAGTGTTCTAGGATTCTAGTTTAGAATAATCTCTTTTTAATAATCCCTAATCCATTTAGAAGGGAGGAGACTACTTCTTCCGGCATTAGCATGCTGGAGGTTAGCAGTAGGATGGTTTTAAGGACATTATGCTTGGAGAAGCTTACACGTTTGTATCTAATCTAGCTGTCAGGTTTAATTGAGGAATGGCACAACTTGCTTAATTACCCTCTTCTGTGCAGGAAAGAGCGGGTGTGGCGAAGAATTCTTTTTACATTAGAAACTAATCATTATGAATCGTCAGTTGTATGCAAACATCTAAAAACACTCACTTTCTTTAATACCATCTGAGCTGGAGAAAATATAGTAAGAATCACTGCTAATGTGTTATCCTGACTGTGTCATCATTTTAAAAAGAACCACCAAAAATCCAGGTCTTTGGAATGACATCCCCATTTTTTAAGATGCTGAGAGCCGCACAGAAAGACTTAAAAATTATACTTATTGTCATCTAAAGAGAAAGCGTACCCACGAGAGCATCTGTTTAGAAATATGCATTAGAGCCGTCATTACCCACAATGAGTATGCAGCTGAGATGTCTGTTGCCTTATTTATCAATGGTGCTAGAGAAAACATTCAGTGGATGTTAGAACATTTGTCTGCAGTTCGAAGCTTTGGTAGCAGATGAGACGCAGATCTGTTGACCCAAGCGTGAAATGAACGGATCTGCTGGTATGAGGCCTTCTGAGTGATCCAAATTGAACCCTTTTTGAGAGGGATGATTGATGTTTGCTGGCCAACTTGAGAGACACATTAAAAACGGCCTGATTCTCCAAAGGTGCGTAGGCTCAGAACGCTTTCGGAAAATTCAGAGGCTTTTAAAATGGCTCAAGTTGAGACCCTTTTGGAAATGTAGACCTTACAGACAGAACTGAGTGACAGAGGAGGGCTGGCTGGACATAAATAGGTTGCTGCATTGCTGAAGCACAAATCCCGCAGTGGACTTTGTCCCAGCAGATCTGAGGCACCTGTAAATATTCATTCGACGAGTGGGCTCGGGAGATCTGCCTAGGCGGAGCTCATTGCAAGAGGAGGAATTAGATTGGAAACTATTCTGCTTTAATATTTGTGGAGCCAAACAGAATAATTTTCCAGCATCTGCTCTGATTTTATTCTTTGTTGTATCACCTGGGTTGCTTTTACGAGTAACTGCAAACAGAAGAGGCAGACACATTATCTCCTAAGTGCAGTTTTTCCACCGCCAAGCTATGTGGTGGATGTATTACAACGAATGCATCATTTTTCCTAATAGAATGCAAATAGTTTTTCCTAATATCCAAACACCACATAAGAGCCCAGCGCCCAACATATAGTGAATGTAGAGCTGACACTGCTGTTTTCTAGACGGGCCACTGAATTAGTACCAGAAAGGAACCTATATTTTGGGCTACAGTGAATAACAAGAGAATTTGTGTGATAGCCTTTGCAAAGAGTGGGATTTTCAAAAGCACATTCCTGACTTACAGACACAAGCCCAGATGAATGTCACTAAAGTGCTTGTGAAAATCCCAGTTAATGCGATTTGCCAAGATCAGGCAGTGAACTAGATCCAAAACCAGGAATAGAATTTAGGACTCCTAACACCCACGGCCCTAATTTAATCTCCAGGCCCCGCGGCCACAGGGTAAGATTCACTGTCAAATGGGAAGTTGGTTGAGCACGTAGGTGTGGAAACTGGGCTGCAGGGGGTGTTGCACCAAGCCCGGGATTTTGGTGTCTTGGACGCATGCCCCTGCTGCCCAGGATCCTGGCCGCTAGATCTGCTGTTCCCCGGGAGCTCTGCTTCTGGCCCTGGGTCCCACTCAGCTGCCGTCCCCATGCAAAGGGTCTCGGTGGCTGGCTTTCGGTTCTGCTCGCCTGTTGGTTCTGCTACCAGGCCTCATATGCAGAGTCCTTCCCAGCTGCTGGCCCCTACTCTAAGGGGAGAATATAAGAATGGCCAGGCTGGGTCAGACCAAAGGTCCATCTAGCCCAGTGTCCTGTCTGCCCACAGTGGCCAAAGCCAGGTGTCCCAGAGGGAGGGAACAGAACAGGGAATCATCAAATGATCCCTCCCCTGTCGCCCATTCCCAGCCTCTGAAAAATAGAGGCCAGGGACACCATTCCTACCCATCCTGGCTAATAGCCATTGATGGACCTAACCTTCATGAATGTATCTACTTCATTTTTGAACCCTGTTAAAGTTCTAGCCTTCACGACATCCTCTGGCAAGGAGTTCCACAGGTTAACTGTGCCCTGCATGAAGAAAAACTTCCTTTGGTTTGTTTTTAACCTGCTGTCTGTTAATTTTGTATGGTGACCCCTAGTTATGTGATGGGAGTAAGTCAATAACTTTTCCTGATTTATTTTCTCCAAACCTGTCATATTATATAGACCTCTGTACTATCTCCCTTTTGTCTCCTCTTTTCTAAACTGAAAAGTCCCCATCTTTTTAATCTCGCTTCATATGGGATCCATTCCAAACCCCTCATCATTTTTGTTGCCCTTTTTCTGAACCTCAGGAAGGTGAGGGGCATGGAGAGAGGTAAGGGTGGGGTGCAGCTCTACACCCCCACTCCAAAAATAGTTCCCATGCTACTGGCTGACCAGACACATGCCAATGAGGATTTCCCTTTCCCTCTGCTCATTTTCCATTACTCAAACGAAATCCTGGATAGGCATTGTTCTGGGCATCACTGTGTGCAAAACACTTTCCCTTGCATGTAAAATGGTAACTGAATGCCCAATCATTTTCTTTTCCCCAGGTAACTCCCTGCTTCTGAACTCATCCATGCAACCCGACCTGACCGTGAGCAGAACTTACAGCGGACCCATCTGCCTGCAAGACCCCCTGGACAAGGAGCTCATGACAGAATCCTCTCTCTTTAACCCCTTGTCAGACATCAAGGTCAAAGTTCAGAGTTCGTTCATGGTTTCGCTGGGGGTGACTGAGCGGGCTGAATATCACGGAAAGGCTCATTCTGGAACATTCCCCCATGGGAACAACAGAGGCTTCACCACAATACATGCCAGGAACAAGACCACATACATACAGAATCTGTCGTCTCTGTCGACAAGAAGTGAGCTGAGGACGACGGGCATTTTTGGCCACTTGGGTGGCCGCTTAGGGATGCCCAACACAGGTAGGTCAATCAAGAAAGATGGGACCTAACCCAAAACAACGCCTTTTGCTTTACAGCATTTCATGGTGTAGAGAAGAGAGGAGCTCGTTGACAGAGAAATGGGAAAACTACAGGAATCTTCTTCACCCGGCATAGTTGATCGTATCCGATTGTCTAGGAAGATTACAGCCAGGGCGAAATTCAGAGATGGGTGTTTATTCCACATTGATGATTGGGCATTGCCTCTAAGCCATCACAATCATAGAACACTAGAACTAAAAGGGACCTTAAGTGATCATCAAGTTCAGTTCCCTGCCCTCATCGCAGGACCAAGCACCATCTAGATCTTCACTGATAGATGTCTGTCTAACCGGCTGTTAAATATCTCCAGTGATGGAGATTCCACAACCCCCTTAGGCAATTACAGTTCACTCCAGTGCATTACCACCCTGAGAGTTTGTCACTTTTAAATATAGTGAAATATTTAGAGAATCATAGAACACTAGAACTAGAAGGGACCACTTGAGATCATCAAGTCTAGTCCCCTGCCCTCACGGAAGGACCAAGCATCATCTAAATCAGTGGTGCTCAACCTTTTAAAATTTGCAACCCCCAGCCCTGGGAAAATTTTGGTTCAGCAAAAGAAAAAAAGGGGGAGGGAATTTTTTTTTGAGCACAAGAAAAATAAAAATGAACAAAGGCGCTGGGAATGTTTTTTTGCGGCTCCTTCAATTTAAAGTGCCAGTCCACTCCCCTGCCACTCCCCCATGCCGCGTGTACGTCAGGCGCCAAGCTGGGAAAACAAAATGCCAGCTGGTCCAGTGCTGCGACACCCCCTGGAAGATAGCCGTGAATCCTTAGGGGGGGTTGCGACCCATGGGTTGTGCACCGCTGATCTAGATCATCCCTGATAGATGTTTGTCTCACTGGCTCTTAAATATCTCCAGTGATGGAGATTCCACAACCTCCCCAGGCAATTTATTCCAGTGTTTAACTAACCTGATAGATAGGAAGTGTTTCCTAATGTCCAACCTAAACCTCCCTTGTTGCAGTTTAAGCCCATTGTTTCTTGTCCTGTCCTCAGAAATTAAGGAGAATAATTTTCCCCCTCTTCCTTGTAACACCCTTTTAGGTACTTGAAAACTGCTATCATGTCCCCTCTCAGTCTTTTCTTTTCCAGACTAAATGAACCCAGTTCCTTCAGTCTTCTCTCATAGGTCATCAAGAGTACGTCTACACTGCGGCGCTATTTCGGGGAACTTCTGGTATCCCGAAATAGCTATTCCGCATCTTGACAGTACGTCCATTATTTCAAAATAATGGACATACTATTCTGAAGTCCCTGTAAACCTCATTCTATGAGGAGTAAGGGACATTTTGGAATAGTGGATTATTTCAAAATTCGGCGCTGTATAGACGGTGCCAAATGACAAAATAAGTTATTTCGAAATATACTTGAAATAAGCTACGCAATTTGCTTAGTTCAAATTGAGTGGCTTATTTCGAGCTAAGGGTGCAGTGTAGACACACTCCAACGTTTTCTCCTAACTATGAAACCTATGCCAATCTAGAAGACTCACATTTTCTTACTGGGTTCCTGATGCCAATACACCACTCCCCGAAGAGCTCCTTGAGTAACCAGGGTCTTAGATTCTCCTTTCCATTTTATCTGTCACAGGCTATTTATATCAATGACTGACTCCATGAACATTGATGGATATTAAGGTGGTGCTATCAAATAATCTGTGACGATGAGAGATGGCTGAGAAGAGTCACTGTTTAGAGTGAAAATTGCTCTGTTGGCCCACCAAGCTTGTTTGTTTGAGGATTTTCTCAGGGGGTGGTGGTGGTTGTCCTTCTCACATCGGTTTGTTCTGAGAGGATATTTCCATAGTGAATGACTTCCGAGCTAACTGCCAGTACTGCACTGAGCATGACAATGTTTCTTGAAATGGAGGAGCTAAATTTGCATCGCTAAGGGTACGTATACACTTCACACTTATTTTGAAACAAACTATTCTAGAAGAAATACTCCGAAATAGCTTATTTCAAAATAGCACGTCTACACTACAGGGAAGCCACAAAATTAATCCAAGATGGGTTTCCCTAATGTGTACGCGCTACCTCAGTTTAGAGCCCCAGGAGGCACTGGGGAGTAAATAGTTTGAGTGGCCATAGGGAGAGGTATTTTGAAATAGCACCAGTGGAGCGTCCACATTACAGCTATTTTGAAATACATTTCTCTTTCAGAATAGGCATTATTCCTCATGGAATGAGGTTTGCAGAAGTTGGAATAAGACATCCGTTATTCTGAATTTGTTTCAAAATAACGGAATTTCTGTGTAGATGCTCGCATTGTTATTTTGAAATAATATCTGTTATTTCGAAATAACTATGCTGTGTAGATGCACGCTAAGAGATGATATTTCAGGAAAAAAACCCTTTTTTGAAAAAAGCGCAAAACCCTCCTTTTTTAAAAGGAGGGCGGGTTTTTTTTTGAAGAAGGGTTTTTTTTCCAAAAAAACCACGGCCAGACTACTTTCACTTTCAAAAGATCCTCTTTTGAAAATGAGATTGGAAGAAGATATGTAAATCCCATGGGATATTGCATATCTTCTTTCGAAAATTCTATGAAGTCTAGACATAGCCAAAATGAGAATCAAAGGATATTCAGTTTGCCTTTCTGCAACATAGCTACACTGGGTCAGGGCCTCCATGTGGTGCTGGCTGCACCTTTTGGTGTTCATGTTTTATGTTGTAAAATGGAGTGTCAGCTGGCGGTACTAGCAGTTCTAATTGGGCACCTCTTGGATACCAGGGATCCTTGAGTTAAGATTCACTTTAGACTCTGTTTGATTTCACTTGACAACTTTTGTTCTGTGCATCCAGGTCTGTCTCTTATTGCTTGTTTGACTGAAATGCCATTTATAGCCTTCCCTTTCATAATTCATTGCCACTTTCACACACACAAGAAAAGCCTCAAAACCATCATGTGTATTTCGAAGAGATTGATAGTCATCTGTCATTGGAAGGGATAATATTGAGCACACAGCAATCTGTGATGTATAAAAGGAATTTGTATCTCTATGCAGGTTTAGTTTGTTCAGGAATGGACATTACAAGGAGATCAAGTCAGTGTAGCTATTCAGAAAGGTGATGGGCAAAGGAATTATTAAGCATCAGATGATTTTAAATTATGTGCTTCCCACAAAGCAAATACATTCAAGGTGTGTTTGGTATATGCAATGTAATTTTTTTTCCTCTCTACTGTGAGTCTGCAATAAAATCTTGCAAACAGTTGCAAATCACAATAGCATCTCAGGCTATGTCAACACTGCAGAGCTTTTCTGGGATACCTCTGTTATTCCTGCAAAGCTATGCCACATCCAAGGAACACATCCGCTTTTTCGGAACAATTTCAGGAAATCCTCTTCCAGAAAAAAAAGTGGAAAAAGGGATGCAAATTGCAGTTCACAATTTGCATATCTTTTTCCGACTTTTCTTTGCCTTCTAGACATGGCTTCCATGTTTTACTGTTTATCTGAAGGTGGGCAAGGCTGACACACTGCAAAAATCTGGAAACTATTCTTTCTTTCTTCATGTATGTTGGCTTAACAAGAGTGTCACTCCATTATGGTTTCAATGGAGTAAGTTCTGATTTACATCATTGTAAGTAGGAGGAGCAACAAAAAATTACCTGCAATGGCTGTGGTGCATAAGCATTAAATGAAATGAAATGAAAAAAAAAATCTCTGTAAATCCAGTTTGCTTTGTAGGTGTTCTCTCCATTATGAGATATTCCTGATGAAAAGAACAAGCAGTTGCAATTTAAAGAAACATGTGAAATTCACTGGACAGGGTAACATTGGGAAAAGGTGCTCAAGGAAAAGTTAAATCGTAATTGAGCTTTGCAAACCATAAGGACCTTTACCGGTGACAAGATTCATAACATTAACAGATCCTTAGGTGGAGAATGTGGGGCAAAGATGAATGCACAGTTTAGGAAAGAGGAGACTAAGGGGAGATACGAGGTCTGTAAAATCATGACTGGCATGGAAAAAGTGAAGTAGGAAAAGTTATTTACTTGTTCCCACAACGTCAGAACTAGGGGGTCACCAAATGAAATTAATAGGTAGCAGGTTTAAAACAAACAAAGGGAAGTATTTCTTCATGCAGCGCGTAGTCAACCTGTGGAACTCCTTGCCGGAGGATGCTGTGAAGGCCAGGACTTTAAAAGGGTTAAAAAAAGAGCTAGATACATTCCTGGAGGTAGGTCCATCAATGGCTATTAGCCAGGATCGGTAGGAATGGAGTCCCTTGCTGCTGTTTGTTAGAGGCTGGGAATGGATGACAGGGGAGGTATCACTTGATGATTCCCTGTTCTGTTCATTCCTTCTGGGGCATCTGGTATTGGCCACTGTCAGCAGACAAAATACTGGGCTAGATGGGCCTTTGGTCTGACCCAATGTGGCCATTCTTTTGTTCACAGATAATTATTTTTTTTAAAGTGTTAACTCTGCCAGCTTTTTGAGATCTAGCAAAGCTCAGTTTAAAGGTTGTCAGTCAGGTGTGCATTTTTATGCAAAAAAAGTGTTAAATAGAGAACTCGGAGCAGGTTGTTTCGTTGTCAGATCAAATAAAAGCTGCCAGGTAGCAGCTGTTCCCCAACTGATGGAGAGCCATGTCAAAAAACCAGAAACTTTGTCTAATGTCTTGACACTCTGGGGCCTAGGAAATCTGCCATTTTTTACCTCCTAATGCGGAGCGTCTTTCTTGATGGCACAGATAGTCCACTGCATTCAGTCCCTGTGTTCCGATTCCTACGCTTGCTCTTGTGGTTTGAAACGTGGGAGCAGACCTTTGATTGAGGTGAAGCTGTGATCATTTTTTTTCACCAGAAGTCCCTGTTGTCCAGTGTGATTCACTCTGAGATGAGGCAGAGATCTTTAACTGCTTCATACCGTGGACATTTCAAAGGCACGGGAATCACCCAACCACTGCCTACTTTCACTGGGAATTAGCTGCCTAAACTGCATTTGCTGCCTTTGATAATCCACCTCCTTCAACATTTGTGGGTTTTCTCAACATCCCCAAAGAACTAATTTCTCCCTCTCCCATTCTAATGGAAGCCCTAAATCTCAAAGTGTGTGCCTACAACAATAAAGAACGAGCTATACTTGGGGGATTATCACACACAAGGTGTCTAACCAATGTAATGACGGCCGTGCCTCTCTAGTATTGATATTAAGACCTAGTTAATAATGAATCTCATTGCCAGAGGGCTCTGAGCGTGGGGTTTTTTTTAACATGCCGCATTCTTAGCAGTAGTGAAAGAGACTAATGATAACCAGCATGTTACTGAATCATGTTCGTAAATTGGAAGAACAAATAACTTATTTTCTAATGAGTCTCGAGCTGCGCAGCTGTACCGCAGCTCTCTGGCTTACAAGAGTGCAGCTCACACATCAGTAATGTTATTAAAAGGATGCTGTCTCTCCCTTGAAATTATGATCAGCAACTTGTATGCTTTGCCACTCTCACATTGGTTCTTCTGATGAAAGACAGGGTGAGAGCTTCATTATCTGAAGGGGAGGAAGAAACCCCGAGGTTTTATTTTTGCAAAGGATCTTTTTGTCATGCCTAACCAGTTCATTTCTTATCATAAACACGAAAATGCATTAAAAAGCACTGTGCTCCGTGGGCTAGTGATGTAAAAGATTTACTTCAAAGCCATTGCTACAGAGAGAGAGAAGAAAGCTCAGGAACGCCACATGAACTGTGGGACTGGACTGGGATGAGCTTTGAACTTTTTGGTGGGCTAGGAAAAAGCTACTGAGGATTTTAAATTGAGAATCTTTCTGACCATACATGGTAGTATCTGACCATACATGGTATTGTTTTCAAGACAAAAGCAATGAAAGAAGTCAATTTCCTAAGAAGCTAGATGGCTCTGAGGATTTTTAATGGGTCACAGATTCTTCCGCCTTTGTGTACTGCAGTGGCATTCACACCCAGTTCAAAAGTGGCTGGAAAGTTGCAGTGGTTTTATGTCATGTCCTCGCTAGGAAATTTGTTTGAGGACCACCCTCACAGCTGGAACTAGACAGAACTTTTGTTGTCAGTTTCAGCGGTATTGTAGAATCATAGAACACTAAACTGGAAGAAACCTTCAGAGATCCTCAAGTCCAGTCCCCTGCCCTCACGGCAGGACCAAGCACTGTCTAGCTCATCCCTGATAAGTGTCTATCTAACCTGCTCTTCAATATCTCCAGTGATGGAGATTCCACAACCTCCCTAGGCAATTTATTCCAGCACTTAACCACCCTGACAGGTAGGAAGCTTTTCCTAATGTCCAACCTACATCTCCCCCACTTCAACTTAAACCCTTAGCAAAGGGATTAAGAAGTGTACGAGCCCATCAGTTTCCATGAAGGAGTCCCTCCTTGGCAGGTGGCATTAATATCAGAGTGGGCAAGACGTCTTTCTCGACCTAGGTGTGAAGAGAGGACTTCAGTCATCAAACCCATGCATCCTACATCTTTCACTGGTGCAAAAATACCCCCAAGTCTGCTCTTTCAAAAACCAACAACAGGGGCAGTGAGGACCTGATCCCAATAATGGTCTTTGGGAAATATTGGCATGCGAACAAATAAGCAGAGCATTTTATTAAGATGTAATTCCATAATTTGATAATGGCTCACCCTAAAAGGGTGTTACAAGGAACAGGGAGAAAAACTGTTCTCCTTGGCTTCTGGTGATAGGACAAGCAGCAATGGGCTTCAACCGCAGCAAGGGAGGTTTAGATTGGACATTAGGAAAAACTTCCTACCTGTCAGGGTTAAACACTGGAATAAATTGCCCAGAGAGGTTGTGGAATCTCCATCACCAGAGATATTTAACAGCAGGTTAGATAGAAGAGATGATGTGGATGGTGCTTGTTCCTGCCGTGAGGGCAGGAGACTGGACTTCATGACCTCTTGAGGTCACTCTGTGATTCTATGAGGTTTATCTTTATGTCCAGAGTATTTGCAGAAGCTTTGGATTGGGAAAGTCCATCAATAACCTCTAAACTTGTTCTGTTGTAGGAGTCAGTTTGCTGATACCACCTGGCGCTATCCCAGAAGAGAGCTCATGGGAAATCTATCTCAGCCTCAGCCAAGGGGAATCCAGGTGAGAAACCAAAAAAAATCACAAGGCAATTCCATCCCAAATATGTAATCCCAGCAAATACATTTCTAGGAGCCATCATGCTAATTACTGAACTATGCGGGCCTCATTCCACCCTTCTTTACCCTGGTATAGGAATGACTTGGACACACAGTAGTAGAATCAGGCACATTGTGTGCTACCATTCTGCAAACACATCCAGATATGAGAACTCTGCTGAAGGCCGGGATAACTCAGGAGGCATGGGTTTCTAGTAAGGAATCTTGTATTTCTAGTTCAGGGCTGGCCAACCTGCAGCTTGCAAGCCGCATGTGGCTCTTCCCCCGCCCCCCAAATTGCAGCTCGCGATACCTCCCCCGTGGCTCGCAAAGCCACCCCTGCTCCCCTAAAATCGTCCCTCTGGCCCCTGGTTCCCTGTGCTCACCATCTGGCGCGACGAAGCAAAATGGCACCGACAAGATGCTGCTGGCCAATGGGAGCCCGATGTGGTCAAAAAGCCACCTGGCGTTTTGTTTAAAGGGGCAGTGTCTTTTTTTGTTGTTTTGTTCAACCAAACCTGGCTGGGGCTGGGTTTGTTTTTTTTTTTTTTGCTCGGCAACTTTTTTCCCTTGGCCCTTAGCTCTATATCCCCAACTATTGTGGCTCTTTGCCTTTGGCTCTCAGTCAAGGCCCTAGTGCATAGATCATCCAGTTCCTAAGTGATACCTAACTCTGCGCTAGCAGCGAATCAGAGTCCACTCCCTTTGCTGGCTGGCTGTTATTACAGACTCTCACTGTCCCAGCAAGAACTCAGTAGGCTATGGGAGCAGAATGGCCCTTTCAATCATTAGAAGCATGGTTCTTCTATGTTGCATTTGGCAGGGTGCTGAAGAGGGTGTTTAAAGTGTTTTCCTCCTACGTTGTTTCTGTTTTATGGATAAATAAAGAAGTTCGTTCTCCCAGGCTTTCAATCCAGCACCATTACATTCACTTTAAGGAATTAGAAATGAGCAAAGCTGTTAACGAGGCGTTTGGTAAGTTCAGGCAGCTGTTCTTTGTGCAGTTGTCTCTAATGCGCTGCCATTATCTCTGCCACATAAAATGTACCTAGCTGTTTTTTTGGGCCGTTCCATAAACTAGGTGGCCATTAGACAAGGGAAAGGGAAGTCTGAATTTTGCTATCAGGCCATGTCTTCACTAAACAAAAGATTGATGCTCCCAGGATTGCTCTTCCGGAGTTTGACTTAGCAAGCCTAGTTAAGACTCACTAAATTGAACTGAGAGGGTGCCCCCACCGGTGGCTGGTACTCCTGATTCTGAGGAGGAAAGGAAGCCAATGGGAGCATTTGCTTCCATCAGCCTCCCGCTGTGGGAACGCCGGGAACCTCAAAACAAGGTACGTCGACTCCAGCTACATAATTAACATAGCTGCAATTGCGTATCTTGATTCAGTCTTCCCCTTTTGGTGTTGACCTGGCCTTGGTTATGCCAGGAGTAAGTGAGAGTAACTCCACTAGTTTCAATATAATCTCCATCAGAGTGAAAGAAGAATTTGACCATTTCTTCAGATAAGGTTTTTTTCCTCTTTTTGTTATGAAGAAAAACAGTCAGAGAAACAGATGGTTTTAACAGATTTTGATAGCTGTTCTCATAAAAGGGATTTTCTGGTTCCCAGTGGCTTTAATTTCTCACACAACATGGTTATAAAGAATCAAAAGTGCTATACCAGTCCCTTGTTTTCCAGAGCCTGATGGATTTTGCTGATGAGCAGTGCTAAGTCTGGCACAAGCTATTGTATAGGGTCTGCTAAGTTCTCTCTGGAAGTTTTGTTCTCAAATTCCAGGAGACTCAGTGGAGTTACAAATTGAAATTTTAGAGGAGAGTTTAGTGACTGAAGTGAGTACACTTAGGGCACAGTTACATAGCAGGACTAGAGCCGAAATAAGCTTCGCAACTTGAGCAATGTCAATTGCGTAGCTCACGTCAAAATATCTTATTTCAGCTTTTGGTGCTGTCTACACATTAGGAAGTCCAAGGAAGAGTGCTCTTTTTCTGACTTCCCTTATTCCTTGTACAATGAGAATTACAGGAGTTGGGGTAAGAAGTCCTCCAGCTCGCCGTTATTTCGACATTGGCAAAATAATTGCTTGTCATGTAGACACGGACTATGTTATTTCGGACTAACGCTAGTTAGTCCGAAATAACACTGCTGTGTAGACATATCCTTTGGGTAAGTCTAAACTACACCTCTCTTCAACAGAGAGATGTAGATTAGGCACATCATAATTGCTAATGAAGTGGGGATTTAAATATCCCATGCTTCATTAGCATAAACATGGCCGCCACTTTTTTTCAAAACGGAGCTTTTTTGAAAAAAAGTCACAGTCTAGATGCGAATGTTTCGAAAATACAACCCTTTTTCGAAAGATTCTGTAAACCTCATTTTTTAAACCTCAGATTTACAGGATCTTTTGAAAAAGGGTTGTATTTTCGAAAGATCCATGTCTAGCAGCGGCCATGTTTATGCTAATGAAGCGTGGGATCATTAAATCCCCGCTTCATTAGCAATCTCGACAGAAAGGAGTAGACAGAGAGATGTAGTATAGACATAGCCTATTCAATACTTGTACCGTATTGCTATCATGCTCATACACAAATTTTAGGGGATGCAAGATTGAAGTGGGTCTGATCCCAGATGTACCTCTCACTGGTCGCTAATTGTCACACAGTAATCCTTCATGTTTAGAGCTGAAATTTCATCTCTCTCAAATGCAAACAAATGGGAAAGAAAAGAGTATTGGTCTGTTAGGAACCCAGTTTTCAGTGTGGGTGATGCTTATTCCAAGTCAAATCATTCTACTGCTGCATTATATTTTGTACGTGCTTCCTTTTGGGTTCTTGTCCCTAAGTTGAGTCTCAGCAGGGTAATTCTGAAACAAAAGACAGGACTATGTAGCACTTTAAAGACTAACAAGATGGTTTATTAGGTGATGAGCTTTCGTGGGCCAGACCCACTTCCTCAGATCAAATAGTGGAAGAAAATAGTCACAACCATATATACCAAAGGATACAATTAAAAAAATGAACACATTAGCTTACAGACATTTACCTCCCTCCCCCATCCCCCTTCTGTTCTGAAATTTGATTTGTCCTTTTCATGTGTGTTCATTTTTTTAATTGTATCCTTTGGTATATATGGTTGTGACAATTTTCTTACACTATTTGATCTGAGAAAGTGGGTCTTGCCCACGAATGCTCAACACCTAATAAACCATCTTAATAGTTTTTAAAGTGCTACATAGTCCAGTTTTTTGTTTCAGCTACAGCAGACTAACACGGCTACATTTCTATCACAGGGTAATTCTGTGATGCAAAGGGTGTTGGCAGACCATAGGAATGGCCCTATTCCTAGAGAGCTTGGAGAACCCAGGTTGAAACATGCCAACGTTCATTAGTTAAAGCATCTCCGCGAGGCAGATGAATTTGGATACATTCAGCCGACGGACACGTCATGTGGGAAAGATAAGACCAAAACATCCCAAGTGTGTCTGTTAATTTTGGCTGTGTAGCTCGAGGCATGTAGGATATGCAGGTACACGGCATGTCAGGATTGAGATGTTTCCGAGTAGGTACCCAGAATGATGTTCACGGGAGGAGGCCAGGTATCTGGGGAGCCCACCGCCGGGCCTCAGGGGTGCAGCCTTGACAGGGTCTGGGGTTCAGTCCTGAGGGTGGGGTGGTAGGAGCACATCCTGCCATTGCTGGTGGCAGGGGCCAGGAGCCGTGGCCAGTATGTGTGTGAGGGGGGGCGGGGGGAGTTGTGGCTGAGGGGCTCAGTGAACTCCCAGCCTGCCGCGGCTTCCGGACTCCGTAGCTGCCCTTCCTCTTTCCCCAAGCACCCTCCGCTCCATCCCTATTCAATCAATGCCAGCCCTTCTTCGGCCAGCTGAGTGAAGCCCTGTAACTGGAGGCAACTGGCATTGACGTCCCCTGGTCCGGCAGATTCCCTAGTATGGGACCAGTCAGGTCCCAAGGGTGCCTGGACCAAGGAGGTCCAACCTGTGTTCCCATTTGAGTGTATCTAACATGCACATGAGAAACTGGCACATCAGGGAGTTGTTTTCTTCCCCTTCTGCTGTGCTTATTGACTTGGAGTTGCACTCGCTTCCTGGGTAAATATAACCTGTCACTTTGTTTCCCTGTGATGTATTTACTCAAGACAGTTTGTCACAAGCACTGTGGTTCCTATAAACTACTTGATATCTGCATTTCTCAACTAAGCAGCCTGGGTCTTGTCTTATTAAATAATTTTAAGAGTAAAGATAAAATTCAGTCAGCCCAGGGCAGTCAAAATCTTAATTTCCGCTTTTTGTTCCTACTACTAAGCCCAGTGTATGTGTCGTTTAAGGGTTTGTTTGCACTCCCGTGGAGTACAAGTTGCCTTTTTTCTCTTGCTGTTTACACTCAGATTCTTTATCTTGTGATCCTAACAAATCTCTGCCTAAGTAGTATCAGCACAGTGCTGGGCTGTGAGTTCTCCAAGGAATTATAGGAACAGTGTTGGCAGTTTAGATTTTTTTTTGACCCCTCGGTCAAGTTAGGCATCATTTTCCTCTCTGAATTCGGATAGGTCTCCGTTCTGCGTCTATACTGCGCAGCTTTTAGCGACAAGGCTGTGTCGACCCAGTCTGGTTACTAAAAGTCAGCTTCTCGCCAAAGGATCAATGCCCACAAAACAGATATTAGACAGGATCACAGAGAAAAAACAGTTTCTTGCCATTTCAACCAGAAAGGACATTGCCTCAATGACTTAATTACCTGCATCCTGCTTCAAAAGCCTTTTAAAACTGCACTTGAAAAGGAATCCTCTGAACCGTTATTCATGCTAAAATTCGACACTTTGCGCGGGGGTCTTAACAAAGACTCTAGTTATCTTACCCATTACAAAGATAGCTTCCCCAATTATCACCTCTAATATCATTAGCTCACAGACATTTACCTCTTCCCCCCCCTCGCCCCCCGCA